CTATGGCTGCGAATCCACGGCTATAGCTGTGGGTTCCTGCAAGTGCATTTTTCTTCCACGGCTATAGCTGTGATGCCACGGCTATAGCTGTGGGTTTCTGAACTTCCAAAAACTCCATGGATTTCAGCTTCATTTTCACTCAAAACCTCCATGAACTTGCAATCCAAGGAGACCCAAACCATGCTACAACTCAAACGCAATACTACTAACCACATGCAACCCAAAAACATCAACAATCACAACATGCATGCATCCAAAACTCAAGAAAAATCATCAATGTTCAACCTTCCATCAAGAAACCAAAAAAAAAACCAAATTTCCATCAAACCCCGAAACCCTGAAAACGAAAATCTTTCAAACACAACCATCAATCTCCAAGAATCAGACAATCCGTGAGTTTCTAACTCTCTCAACAACAACCAACACAAAATCCTAGCTTCCCTTACCTCGATGAGACGATTCCGAGCTCCGGGAAGAGAAGGGAGAAGAAGAAGCTTGAAGAGGAGCTCCGCACGGCTTAGCTAGCAATCCAACATCTTTACTCAGCTCCTAAGATCACCACTGCCACCCAAGATCAAAGAAAAAAGGAAATAGGGAAAAGAGAGAGTAAAGGAGAATTGAGAGAAAGTGAGTTGAGAGGGAGAAAAATGAGAAGAGTGAAGTGAGTAGGGAGAAAGAAAATATGAACAGGGTCTCACAGACTACTAGAAAAATAACAATGATCGTGTTTGATACTGGATGCAAATAGCATATATACAAGTAGACTTTTTTTTATATACTTTTTTTTAATTTATTTAAATAACATAAAGTGAAATATATTTACCTAAATATACCATTTAGTTTTTTAGGTTCGGTTACCCAAAGGAATTTTTCCAAATTTTTGAAAAATCCCTTTGAGAAATCAGTTACCCAGTAACCGATTTCTCAAAGGCCCATTTTATTTTCGTTTTCTATTTTTTTTAATTATTTTTTTTTCAGATTTGTAAATTTTTTTTCGTATTTTAATTTTAAATTTTAAGTTATTTTAAAATTTTATAGTAATTGTAAATAAAATAATTTAGTTAAGTTTTTAGAATAAGAATAAATAATGAAATAATTATTAACTAAATAAATAATAAAATAATTATTAACTAAATAAATAATGAAATAAATATGAATTTAAATTAATAAAAAAGACAAAATTTTTATTTAAAATAATAGTAAACAAAATACAATATTTGGAAGGTTTGATGACATTTTAAGCTTGGTGACTTGAATTCCCTTGACAATAAGGGCATTTCTTCTTTGAGTGACCTACATTCCTACAGAGAGAACATCTTCTTGGTTGTCCTGGTTCAACCATATCCATTTCAATGCGTATTCTGGATGACTTTGGATGACCTTTTTTATTTCTAATCTTTTCCGGATTAGGTATGATTTGTGGTTCTTCACAATCCGGCCAATAAGATTCATTAGGCAGTTCACTAAATAATTCGTTATACACATTTGAAACATTGTAATGTGTATACCAGATCTATGTAAGATTTATAATCGTGGTGAACATGCTTACATGCAGCAACAATATGGGAGCATGGCATGTGTAGCTTTTGGAATTTTCCACAGTCACACCAGTTGTCATGTAGTATAACCGTGAAAGTTCTAGTAGGTCGTGTTTCCCTTAGGTTAATGGTCTTTTGCATCAGAAAACGTGTACTGTGACGATCAAATTCGAGGACATGATGACTATTAGCCTTTGATTCTGCATCTCTCATGGCCCTATTCATTATTTTCGTATAAACTTGGCCAGCCCTAAGTTTAGCATCGACTTCCTTCCCCCTTTGGATGAATAAGGCATTACATCTCTTATAAGTCGACATGATGATTGTAGAAATTGGCAAATTTCTTGTTTTTTTAAGAATGGAGTTAATTGCCTCAGCCAAGTTGGTAGTCATGTGTCCCCATCATCGGCCACCGTCCCATGCAAGAGTCCATTGTTCTTTTGGTATGGTGTTGAGCCATTCAATTACACCTTCGGTTTCTGGTTCGCTCCTTAGCGTGTTGTAGTAGTAATTGAATCTTGGCTCAGTCATCCCATAAGCTGTGAAATCAGATTAGGAAAAAATGAACAATTTAGTAATGTTGAAATATGATGAAACAAATTAAAGTAATTAATGATGCTAACTACATACCCATATTGATGATTAATTTTTTCCGTTCTGTATTCTTGAAATGCCTCATGAAGTTTTGAGCTATATGGCGAATACAGAATACATGCACTGAATTCTCGGGTGTCCAACCACTGCCTTGTCTAGCGTAGGCATTTTTGATAGACTCGTGCCTGTCCGAAATTAAGCAAAGGCCATCTTGAGGGCAAACATGTCTTTTGAGATAATGTAGAAAGAAAAACCATGCCTCTGCTGTTTCACCCTCAACAATTGCAAAGGCAATTGGAAAGATTTTGTTGTTACCGTCTTGAGCCACGGCCACAAGGAGAGTTCCTTTGTATTTGCCATACAAGAATGTGCCATCAACTTGAACAATGGGTTTGCAGTATTTGAACCCATCGATACAAGGTTTAAATGTCCAAAATACTCTATGGAATTGAACATAATGATGAACCATCTCACCTTGTTGGTTGTATAGTGGCCTTGTTTGCTTCTCAACAACAAATCCATTAAGAAATCCACTCATGGCACTAAGCAACTTGGGTAAATCATGGTAAGATTGTTCCCAGTTACCATGTAAGTCTTCAATTGCCTTTTGCTTTGCCATCCAAGCTTTGCGGTATGAGATCGTGTACCCTTCATCACTTTCGATGTGTGCTATTATTGTTGGAATGGAAATAGATGGATCACTCTCCACCAAAGGAAGAATACTTTTGCTAATATATACATAGCCAAGGTTAACATGATCTTGTGTAATAATAGGTGATGAACAAGAATGTTCACCTGATAGCTTACGAAGCTCCCATTTTTGGCTTTTAGTAATAAAAGCCGCTCTGCACCTCCAATCACATGTATTGTTAACACAGGCATGCAACAATTAATGTTGGTGAGGATTTCTCCACCCTGTAATACAAACCTTTCTTTATATGGTATGAATTTAGAACATGTTTGACTTCCTCCTTTGTGTTGAAAGTCATGCCTTGAAATAGAGTGTCAGGAGAGTACTCGACATTAACATGGTCAAGTGCATGTCTATACTCTGGGTCCGTGAAATCTGTTTGCAAATGAACATTATGCATGTGTGAAGGAAAACTGAATGTGCTTACGTGCTGAGATTGTTGTACAAGACGATCTTGTTCATCTTGTTCATCGTCTTGTTGAAGTCTTGCATCATCTTCCCCCTCACTAAAAGGACCAACTTCTACTTCAGGAACTCCAACTTTAGGGACTCCTTCCTGTGGTTCATCTTGTTGGACTCTAGATGTAAGGAGGTTGGTAAATGATGCATGTGTATGAAAATCGTTTAATGAAGGTTGGGTTTCATAGAAGGAAGTTTGGTTTTCATACGAAGAAGGTTGGTTGTGATAGGAAGAAGGTTGGTTTTGATAGATAGAAGGTTGGTTTTCATAGGTAGATGGTTGGTTTTCTTTTTCAGAAATAATTGGTGTGAGATCTGCATATAGTTGAGCAGAAGTTAGATGTTTAAGGGAACGAATCATTTGAATCATACCATGAACGTCTTCATCGTCGGTAAGCTTGACAGCCCGGAAATAAAGCATTCCTTCACCTACCACTTGTGGATACCGAAAGTAAAGTTGATCAACTGAATGTGGTTGTGGTAATAAAAGTTTTCTTTGGATCTTAGCTTTCAACGCATCAAGTATGATACGTGATCTAATTAATAAAAATATTGGGTCAGACGATACAAAAGTATCCCCTTGATTTGTTTGAGTGATTTCACCATTGAAAAAGACTAACACATTGAAAAAAGAGGAAGACATTGTTGTAGACAAAGACTAACACATAGAAACAACAAAGCTTAGCTCAGTTGCACTTTGCATTTAAACCCAACATTCATATCATTTAAATAGAAGGTGGAGATAGAAGTCAATCAATTACACTCAACAACCCTAAACAATGCATCAATGACACTCTGCACAAAGCATTGATTTTTCTGACGCTCTGGTACAAAGCATTCATGCCTCTGCACTAAGCATTGATTTTTATGACGCTCTAAGAAAAAGCATTCATGGCACTGCATCAATGACACACTGCATCAATGACACACTGCATCAATGACACTCTACACAAACACTACTACAAGACACACATTTTACATCGGTTCTTTAACATTATCTACATCGGTTCTAAAACCGATGTAGAATGGAGTGACGTAGTAAATGCAAACCATTTTACATCGATTCTTCCCACAACCGATGTAAAATGATGTACAAATTTACATCGGTTCTTTGTACAACTGATGTAAATTTGTACACCAATTTACATCGGTTCTTCCCACAACCGATGTAAAATGATGTACAAATTCTCTGGAAAACTGACCATCATCATCTTTCTCTAGCATCATATCAACCAGAGGTCCGACCCTTGACATAGAACCCGTATCAACCATCATCCCTATGCTTGTCTTGTATTCACGAATTGGCCAATAAGAAAAACCCCGAGCTGCTCGCAAACTCCTCCAAATGCCGTTGATTTTCACCCTGTTGACGAAGATTCCAGCTTGAACAAACAAAGACCTTACACAACTACTGCATACCATCTATCCGATGTACCTAGAAAATTACACAAAAACACAAATACTCTCAAATCCCAACAATAATAGAACTCAACAACGTAAACCAAACTAAAAAAAAAATAGAGAGAGAGACTAAAAGGGAAAGAAAAAGAAAATGGCAAGTTCACAAATTTACAAACCACATTGAATAATCATCATCATAATCATCAACATCATAAATCAATATAATTATCCAATCAACATATACTCGTGAAATTAAAAAATATAAAATATAAAATAAAAATAAAAATGAAAGCACAAGGATCAAAACCTTTTTTTAATATTGAACTCTCTAAACTACAATAATCATTGATTCGAAAAGCAAATTCAAGGCAAAATTCGGAGAGAATTGCGGAATCAAGGGTTGAATGTTTCTCGAATTTGTGATTGAATAACAGAGTAGAAAACCTTTACACAATCATTGCATTATAATTAATTTCAAAATTAAAATAGGGAGTAATACTAAAAATACATTTTATTATCCGTATCCAAAGCATATTTAAGTCCAATGAGACTGTTTGAGAAAACGCTTATGATTACTTCAAAGAAAGGCCAATATAACATTAGCTAATGAGTGTTGATAAGCGATAATAATCAATATATTAAATTTGTTAATCAAGGATTCTATCATTTAACCAAATCACAGAAAATGCAATTATGATGGTATAAAAAATACTTACAGAAAACATGTGTCCATCTCGGGTTAAAGCAACTGAATGAGTACCTCCACATGACACCTGACCCAAACTAATTATCTTCATCTTAGAATTTTTTTTATAACTCTAAATAACAATTATTTTCAAAAATTCCTTTGTTTTTCCATTCCCCCCTCCCCTACTCAAATAGAAGATATCATGATTGGCAAGACACATGAAGCACACAATATGGATGTCAAAGTATAATCAAATGTGACCAGCAGAATTCACAAATTCAAATTAAAATAGACAGAAATGTGTCAAATTATATTCTCCACAAGGGTTTGGATATTTTGGTTGTCCATTTTTGGAGCTTCAATCATGTCAAAGTGAGATAAAATTTATAATGGTTATAACTTATAACAAAAGTTCATTATTAAGAAGACCATTCATGGATGCCAAATCATTTCATTGTTACCTGGCCATGACACTGAAGCTCCATATATTAGTTAACCTGATCGGGGGAAGATAGCAAAAAAGAGTACCTGAACAATATCTTCACCAGCTAAAAGCTGAACCTTCTGCGGTACCATTTTACTACTCTTGTCACTATCACCGAATCCAAGCCTGCCATTTTCACCCCTTCCCCAGCCATAAACCTGAAAAAAATTTAAGAACAAAGATATTATAGCCTAATCACTAGAAAAACGTTAATAGAAACCAAAAGCCATTTAGATGAAAATAAAGTAGTAGTATTGAGTATCAACAAAACCAAAACCCATACAGAAGAAAATAAAGTAGCAGTATTAAGTGTCAATAAAGAACCAGAAAACAATTACAAAAAAGTATAACTGATGGACTCCTTCCACCAAGGGGTTGATCATGGACGTTTAGCATCACATAGCACAACTCAGCGTTACATCATTTAACAACATACCGCACAACACTTTTCATCACACGGCATTGGCAACATTAATCAGCATAAACAACATTCAGCGCAGCTCAGCTTGATAGCACAGCCTATCGTCTTATAGCACATCTAAGCATCTTACAGCAACATACACCTAACACCTAAAACAACTTTCAACTTAACCAAATCACTAAATATGAAATGGTAACCATCATAGCAAACAACGCATCAGGAGTTATACTACTCCTACCATGCTCATCCTTATCTCATATGAAAGATAATCAAATTTCCTACAACTCTCATGAAGACACCAAGTCTTAATTCCTTCATCTACCTTGTTAAAAATTCCAAAAACCGCAACAGCTATAAGTAATGTTGGTAGCTTGACCCCTCTTCACTAAAACGGCCATATCTGGAGTTCTAGAACTCCTTTTTGGGTGATTCCAACGCCATTGGAAATCTAAGATCCAAGGCTACAACTTTTATGAAGACCTTATGACCAAATTCAGTCATCAAGGCCCACCGATGCAACGCTCAATCCAGCGCTTTAGCTGTAACTCTCTGCCAGTTCAATTTCCCCTTCCACAGCCATGGCTGCAAATCCACGGCCATAGCTGCAAGTTTCTGCCACTTCAATTTTTCTCCACAGCTATGGCTGCAAAACTACAGCTATGGCTGCAAGTCTCTGCCATCACGTTTTTCCTTCCCACGGCTATGGCTGCGAATCCACGGCTATAGTTGTGGGTTCCTGCAAGTGCATTTTTCTTCCACGGTTATAGCTGTGATGCCACGACTATAGCTGTGGGTTTCTGAACTTCCAAAAACTCCATGGATTTCAGCTTCATTTTCACTCAAAACCTCCATGAACTTGCAATCCAAGGAGACCCAAACCATGCTACAACTCAAACGCAATACTACTAACCACATGCAACCCAAAAACATCAACAATCACAACATGCATGCATCCAAAACTCAAGAAAAATCATCAATGTTCAACCTTCCATCAAGAAACCAAAAAAAAAAACCAAATTTCCATCAAACCCCGAAACCCTGAAAACGAAAATCTTTCAAACACAACCATCAATCTCCAAGAATCAGACAATCCGTGAGTTTCTAACTCTCTCAACAACAACCAACACAAAATCCTAGCTTCCCTTACCTCGATGAGACGATTCCGAGCTCCGGGAAGAGAAGGGAGAAGAAGAAGCTTGAAGAGGAGCTCCGCACGGCTTAGCTAGGAATCCAACATCTTTACTCAGCTCCTAAGATCACCACTGCCACCCAAGATCAAAGAAAAAAGGAAATAGGAAAAGAGAGAGTAAAGGAGAATTGAGAGAAAGTGAGTTGAGAGGGAGAAAAATGAGAAGAGTGAAGTGAGTAGGGAGAAAGAAAATATGAACGGGGTCTCACAACCTCCCCAACAACAAGAGTTTTCGTCCCCGAAAATAGACTTACTTGGGAAAAGAAACAGATACTGCTCCCTGTAACAACACCGACATAACGGCTATAACAGCACCACAATAGTGGCTAAACACAACATACAGCTCAGCAATAAACAGCACAGCAAAATCAGCATACAACACAACCAAGTAGTATTCAACACAACTTACTACTCATAACTCAGCTCATCATTCTAGAGCACGACCATATTATAAATCAGCATTTAAATTTATCAATAACAGCCCAGCTCAGCATAGCGAGATACATCTATTACAGCTTAACATCATTTTTCAGCATTTACATCTAGTCAGCACAACATATTTATCAATTATATCTCAGCTCAACAATCACAACAAAATTCAACAATTATCGGCCTATAATTCAGCTCGACTCAAACAATAAAGTTTAGCATTAGCATCACATAGCACAACTCAGCGTTACATCATTTAACAACATACCGCACAACACTTTTCATCACACGGCATTGGCAACATTAATCAGCATAAACAACATTCAGCGCAGCTCAGCTTGATAGCACAGCCTATCGTCTTATAGCACATCTAAGCATCTTACAGCGAACAAGAAGGAGGCCAAATGAATAAAAACTGAAAAAGCTCAATTAAAAAGCTAAACTCAAAGAGAGATTAATGAGACAAACATAAGAATTTCAAGGAAGAAAAGAGAAAAATTAAGACACATTAAAAAGGCTAGCACACAAAAGAGAAAATCCTAGAATGACACTAGAATGGAATAAGTCTTTAAAGGTTTTGCAATTGTAAACTTAAGTCCTTTTTGGTAAAGGTCCAGCCACGGTTTTGTGTCTCAAATGGGTCCAATAAGGTCCAAAAATTTAGTCCAAGTCCAACTCCAATGTGCAAGGGTAACTAGGTCAAATGTCCACAAGTCTAGCAACAAAATCCTTTTGTTTTCTTTTGTTTTTCTTTAGGCCTTTTTGGTCACTTTTTTTTTTTAATTTTCTGTCCAGATTTTTCTTCTATTTTCTTTTTAAATTTTGCTTGGTTTTTACACTTGTGGGTGATTAAAAATTCAGCACATATAAGGAGTCAAAAATAAAGAGACAAGTGGCAACACATGAGTGGGTATAGAAGCATTTTGTGAGTGGAGTGTGTCTTGTACTATTTTCTTTTTGGTGTAGATTTTTTTCAAAGATTCCAGCACTCACACACAAAACTTATCACTCACACATGTGCATAAAAGGACAAAAGAATAATCATGTAATGATGTGCATGGAAAGGTGGCCAATCATGTATGTGTAGGAAGGAAATAACACATAGATTTCAACACAAATTTGGAGCATGCCAAGGACTAGTTAACATGCATGAATGACCTCTAAATGGTGCAGCAAAATTTAGGCCACCTCATGGAAAAACACATACATTTCATATTTTCATGGTTTCATACATCAAATGGGTGCATCATACATATATTTTTTTTTGTCTTTTTGAGAAAGGTGAGATAAACACAACTTTTGACAAAACTTTAAAGGTAAAAAGATCAAAAATAGATGAAAGACATGTTCTTGATGTTCATAATATATTTTTCCAGCAACAAGAGTAAAAAACAAAAATGGCACACAAGAACCTAAAACTCAAGAAAAACCCTAAAGCACAAAAGGAGGCTCATGAATAAGCAATGAACCATGGAACAACATGAGATGACATTTTTAATAAGGTTTTCATGGATGACAATGAACTCAAAGATGACACAAAACAAGACTAAAAAAAAGAAAAGACTCAAAGAAATGGAAAGGAAGCTAGTTACCCTTGAAGATAACCTAAGCTCTTGATACCAAATGATGGACTCCTTCCACCAAGGGGTTGATCATGGACGTCCAAGGTGGGAAGAATCTCCTTGCTAAGGCCAAAATGATGACCTTAAGGGTGGATGTTCCTTCAAGGGTGAGGCAAAAGGAAGGTGGGCGTAAATGGGTTGATTTAGGCGAATATGAGAGATGATGGGAGGATGGTGTTTTGGGTGCTTCTAGGTTGGCTCTCTTCACTAAGTGGAGGTGAAGGCCACTCAAGGAACCCTAAACTCACTCAAGGGAGGAGATAGGAGGGGTAGGCCGTGTAGACCTAGTGACTAAGGAGAGGATTTGAGGCAAAAAATGCTCACTCAAATTCATATATTCCAAAGTATTTACAAGGTGTGGGGTGTTGGGTATTTATAGGAGGGGAGGCATCTAGGGTTGCATTTGGAGTAGGCAAATGCATTCCAAATGAAATGCAAATGAACCCTAGATGCAACTTGGTGGCCAAGGATGGAATCTTTGGGTTTAGATTGGCTATATCTAGGTGCATGATAAGACCATGCAACCTTTGCCCTCCACTTGGGCCTAAGCCTTTCTAACACCAAAAATAGACCCAAAAACACCAAAAACATGCGTCACCCTCTAATTAACACCCTAGCCCAAAATTAAAAACCCTAATCATCTAGAGCACCCCATAATACAAAGGTAAAATAGGAAATACAAGAGAAAATAAATTCTAAGTCCTAAACACCCCAAAATACAAGGGTAAAATGGGAAATACAAGTAAAATAAATTCTAAGACTAAAATACCCCAAGATACAAGGGTAAAATAGGAAATCAAAGATAAGGGTAAAATAGGAATAAAAAAAATAAATGTTATACTAATAAAAACTTAGGAGCTAAGGTCCAAAAGTGGCCTCACTCCTCTTATGGCTTTTAAACACTAACCCATTCCTTTTGCTTCCTTCAATACATCACCTCTTGGACTTCTTGGCCTTAGTGTTATTCCATCAATAACCCTACCCCTTTACTACCAAGGTATACACAATGAAATCAAATAAGTGTCTATGCATATTGCTTTCCTCCATTCACTGCTTACAAGAGGATTTGTTTCCAAAACCAATGAGGCATGTATTGTTTTCTACTATAATAAGTATTTTGAGAAGAAGCAAGTAAATAAAAAATTTAAAAATATGGAGTTAAATGGATTCAAATATTCTACAAGGGTTTCTTGAAAATAAAATTTAATCCCAATAGATTCCAGGAAAAAAGGGGTACCTCTCCTTCATCTGTCAATGCAGTAGAATGCCATCCACCTGCAGTAATATCCACCTAGAGTTCCAACCAGATTAATAAAAGAATTTAGGAGATCAAGATACTTTATGATCTACTATAATATCATCATGCATATTACATCACATACCCGGATTGCGGTCAATTTTTCTATGGTAACGGAGTTTCCCAACATCCAGCATCTCCAAAATTGCGTTCCTAGAATCTGACGCTCTCTCAAACAAAATCTGAATCTCTTTCACCGCCTCAGAGAATCCTTTCGCAGAGTCACTGCATTGCGCTTTCACCTTCTTATTCTTCGCTCCTCCATTTTCCGCCGTCGATTTAGACACGTCACCTTTCTGAACCGTTCCCCTTTCCTTCTCCACCACGTCAATGTCGCCAGTAGCCACGTACGACACGTGGTATCTCTCGTACGACTCGAAGAAGCTCAGGAAATCCCACGCCGAGCTGCTCTGCGACGGAGACGACCTCAAACTAGAATAGTCGCCGGAGCACAGTAGAGAAAAAGCGTCCTCGTAACGGAACAATTTAAACTCTTCTTTTTTGGTGTCTTTGGGTTCTAAATCGGAATGCAGACAAAGGTGGGCGTCGGAGTCGGAACTTAGGGAGGAAGGAGAACAAGGTGGTGGAGATTAGACAAATCGTGGCCTTGAAGACAATCATGGAGCGAAGAAGAGAGGTTCACATTGGTCGCGGTGGCTAGGTTTACGTATGAGTGAAAGGGTACTGTGCCTTGAAAATTAGGGTCTCATTTCTACATCGGTCATGCGCAAAATCGATGTAGAATAACTCCTGGATTTTATTTTTACATCGGTTAATCATAAAACTGATGTAAAATTTCTCATATTTTCTATTTATTTACAAGTTTGCCATCGCGTTTATGATTTACATCGGTTCTAGTAGAACCGATGTAAATATGGCGATGTTAAATAGTACTTTTGTAGTAGTGAAAGTAATAACTTTTCTGACGTTCTGGTACAAAGCATTCATGCCTCTGCACTAAGCATTGATTTTTTTTACGCTCTGGGACAAAGCATTCATGGCACTGCATCAATGACACTCTGCACAAACCAATAACTTTTCTGACGCTCTGGTACAAAGCATTCATGCCTCTGCAATAAGCATTGATTTTTCTAACGCTATGGGACAAAGCATTCATGGCACTGCATCAATGACACACTACATCAATGACACCCTACACAAAACATTAATTTTTCTAACGCTCAGGACAAAACATTGATGACTCTGCATCAACCATTGATTTTTTCCACTATATATACACTACATACGATCCAACCCTAAACACACAACAAAAGATCAATTTTCTTCAGCTATTGCACTATTGAATTTCGTTGCTTTGTTTTTCAAGAATGTCTTCTTCATCTTCAACTATGTTGTGGAAACAACACCTCCATAGGTCAAATGTAACTCATCTTATGGTAATTTATTATACATTGTATAATGTTTACAACTAATATTATATTTTACTAACATTTCAATTCTAACATTTTCGTAGACAACAAGTGATCAAGTGATTCAATCTTACTATCATTCCATGCCTACACCTGACCCAAGAATTAAGAATTTGTTGGAGGTTATTGGCTTTGCCGAGATTGCGAAAATAAGACATTTTAAAATTGATGATTGTTTGATAACGTCTTTGGTGGAGAGGTTGCTAATTTGTAGTTAGCTTCATTAACAACATAAGGTTACTTATGTAACCTAAATCTTCTTGTATATAATGAAGGGACACTCATTTAAAATAACAGACAAAATCTTCATGAGCATTGTTATTTCTCTAATAGTCCAATAGTAAAAAAAATATGTTAGACTCTTCTAGTATCCTTAATTATATTAGGTACCTTAGAATTTTTCTAAAGAAAAAGTTAACTTTTTAACAGACATAATCATTAAAAATAAAATTAAGGGAAAAAGTAATTAAAAACAATAAAAAAGAATTTTATTTATTAACATCTCGTAATGGACAAAAAAGTTGACTTTCATTTCTTAAACAATGATAGCTAATTCCCATATTCATTTTTATTCATAACAAAAAAAACCATTTAATAAAAAATTTAGACAACTAAAGTTCTATGATTTTGAAACCAATAAACAGACATAAAGCAACGGACAGTCATCTAAAATAATGGACAAAAACATAGAAGATCATAATTTTTTTTTTGTTATTCACAATAATCGATGACAAGGGCATTGACACTATTAGGGATAATGACCTTAGTACAATCGAACATTGTACACTGGTACCTTATCTATTAGGAAAACAAATAAAAATAAAGTGTCCAACTTTATATAGCGGCACTAGGTGACTTATTTGGTTCTACCTCAACTATTTGCTAACTATTTTTAAAAAAAAAATTGTGGTAGAAAATGATGCTATATTGACCAGCAACACACCTGTTAACTACCCCATGCTCGTAATATGTTTAAAAATGATCCCGTTCACACAAAAAAATGGTGAGATCATTAGAGAGGATAAAAAAGTGATTCAAAAGCTTTAATTCCCCTAATGTAGCAAATAGTTCATTTTTTAGTCACTAATAATGATTAAATGCTTATTTTGCCTTATCTAGTCTTTGCAGCTAAGATCTTTTATATTAGTTGAATGGTTGGTATACTTGTCGTGTTTTGAGTCCATGGTTAACAATATAATTACATTTAACTAAAGGAGAAACTAACCTGAAATGGAAACTCAACATCATCTTTATACAAAACAAAAAAATATTTAGTAAAAAACTTAAAAAACTTAAGTCTCGTAATTATGAAACCAATAATTAAGTAGCCATAAGACAATGCCCCCATGCACAATAAAAAGGGTTGGCATTGCATTTGATCCCCACTCAACATTAACTCGAGACATTCCAACATGTAATGACAATATGTAACATAATATAGAAAACTCCAATATTACGTTTAAGGGTAGACAAATACGCAATGATCGAACAATCGCATCATTTCCAATATTGTTCTCACCTACCATTGTAATCCATAGTAAGGGTGTGAGAAACTTAGAACATGATTGCTCAAAACTTGCTAAAATATGAACAAGAGTTCCAGTAAAGAAAATGATCTTCTATGTTTTTGTCCGTTATTTTAGATGGTTAACTATTCATTATATGCAAGAAAAATGAGGTTAAATAGGTAACCTTATGTTGTTACGGAAGCTAATTACAAATCAAAAAAATAATCAAGTTACAAATCAGGAAGTTAATCAAGAGGTTATACAAAAAAATATATTAAATATATGCCAAAATATATTAACAACCTAAATATCTTGTATTTATATTATTTTGCAACTAATACTCCCCCTTAAGTTAGAGCATGAAGATCTCGATTGTTACCTGCTTGAATTTCATCTCAAACAAATGACAATCCATCTCAATATGTTTTGTTCATTCATGCAACACATGATTCATTACGATATTCAAAGTCGCTTAACTGTCACAATATAATCTCAAAGGAAGAACATGTTGTACACTAAGGCAAAATAAGATGGATTTTAACCTCTTCAGTTCACACGTAATAGTAGCCATTGAGCGATACTTTGCTTTTGTTGAAGAATGCCACACTGGCAATTGTTTCTTAGTCCTCCATGAGATGGGTGAAGATCGAAGTAAGACGAAATAGCTGATCTATGATCAACGAGTTATCAAATAACTAGCCCAATTACTATCGCAAAAACCATAGATTCACAAATTGCAATCACGATGCAATGCATATAGAAAAAGTGGACATGACTAGGGGGAATCCATTCCGTATCATTTTTATTTTAGAAACTGAGAGGTTGGACAGAGATAATCATCTCTTCTCAGAGGAGCAATGGCTCTGGGGTTACAGGGGGCTTTCTTCTGTAATTTATCTAGTTTTCCAATCAATAATACAATTGTTGTTTCTCTTTAAAATTTGGGTTCCTATCATGTATCCACTTTTGTTACTTATTCTAACGTATGGGGTTCAGGTCATGTTTCTACATCATCAGGTCTCAAGTATTTTGTCAAGTTTACTGAAGAATTTATACAATCCTAATCCCTAATTCATATGCATGGAATCACTCCCGGCTATATCATATTATTAACAAATTACAAATAAAAATCAAGTTTAAGCACAAGCACAACACTTATAAAAAAGGGTTAGCGTTGAATATTCCATTAGAATATTTTAACACATTGTTACATTAGTTATTGAGAATGGAAAGGAGTGTTATTTTGAGACAAAAATGGATTGATGTATTATTTTAATAAACCTCAAGGATGGTTAGTGTTATTTACCCTTGAAATAATACTAGCAATTATTTGCCTAAAATTAAGCATTACCAAACATTAAGCAATAACAACGCAGCAGGCAGGGAGTTAGAAATAAACTGTAACAATTTTATCAAAAAATGGCCAACAAATAAGGTAATCTAACTCTAGCATCAGTATTGTATAATCAATGTGTTTCAATTCCTCCACCTTCAAGGGTAACATAACACAAAATTAAAGCACACACAACCATTTATTCAGTCAGAAGCATTCTACCAGCGACGTTCTACACAAAACTCCACAGAAAAGTGGAAAAACAAGGCACAGAAATACAAATAGCTACAATACATAGCATACACACCTTGAAATACCTAATAGCTCTCAAAATATAAAAGCTTTAAAAAGATGTACAGGACCACAATTGCAGCTACTAATGTTTTTTTTTTGTCCATGAACATGATTCATGCAACGTCTCAAAATTAACAACTAAAGATTATTCTGCACTCACAAAACATGACTTCCACTGGCCAAACATTACTTAACACCAACAGAAATCAACCCTAGGAGCACCAGATCAACTCCCGTGTCCCACGAATACTGCCAATGTTTCAAAAAACAGTTCATAATTATAGATGCAAATCAAGCTCATTTGGGTCTCCACAACTGCAACTGTGAACACATTAGTCCACAATTCCTCACAATATAAAAGTTTGCAACAAAACCACAACCACAATTTAAAACCTCTACATCCGCCAAATTTGTCCCCAATGTCATTCCATAATTTAAAACCTCATACAAATCAACTAATCAACAACATCACCATCACAATCTCACTGACCTGAACAAGATAGTAAAAGATCCGAAGGCCTTCGGGATCAGCGCTACTCTGAACATCTACAAGAGAGCCAATCTTGGAGGTGGTGAAGGATATGTGCTCGTTCCCCATTACAATCTGCAGCTCCTACCTCCCCACTCTATCAGGTTCCGGTCAGTTGTTATCATCTTCCTTCATAATCTGCACAATCAAATAGTTATTTTCAAAATGACAATAAAAGAGGTTCTTAGGGTTAGGATTAGGGTTAAGGTTACCTCGCTCTCGGCGATGATACGGCGGCACTTGCGGAGAACGGCGGGGGTGAGGTAAACCTCCTTGCGGATGATGGTGTCGTTTTTGTAGTTGGAGTTGTTCGCGTAACGGAGTTTTCCGTCAGGTCTGAACTCGAACTCTAGGAACTCGTGCCCGAACTTCCCCTTGTGCCCAACGTAGTAATGCAGGTACAATTCCCCGTTTTCCCCTTCGCTCGCCATTCAATCCCAACACAAACCCTCTTCTCTGCGCTAATTTTAAGAACGGAGCGATTGTGGAATGTGCCAAGATCCAAGACACTGCGAAGGAAGAGATTCAAAGGGGAACGAAACGTACCTCTGTGTGTCGCTCTCGCGAGGGAATGCAATTGTTGCTGC